AAAAGCAGTATCATCGATAAGTGTTATTTTAAAAAACAAACACTTGTAAATGTTGATGACAGCTCACAGATTAACACAATCTGATTTATTTTTGGATTGACCTTGATTTATGAAACCAAACATTCCCTTAACTTTCAAAATGTCCACGTAATCCCAAATTACTAGACTGCATGGCAACTTTAAAGAATTTCCTCAATAATTTTGCTGAAGTTCACAGAGAAATATTAAAGGTGCTTCCTTTAACTGACTCCAAAGAGCTGTGAACATTTTCCAACAGTCAGGAAGCACAATGAAGACTGCGCATAATCCAACCGAATACTTTTAATATTAGTGCCTACTCTAACAAAATCAAAATAGAAAAATGCCTTAATCTTGTGTTCTATAAATGCCAGGTTTAATTTTCTTGATTAAAAAAAAATGCAGCATCATAAAAAATTAGTTTCCGGAATGTATATAGAACTCCTGTATAAATCACTAAAATAAAGAATAACCCGAGAAAAATAGGCAAAGGAAACGGAACAAGCAATTCTCATAAATGGGCAAGAAAAAGATAAACTAATCAGTAAATTGCAAATTAAGCCTACCAGTTCTCAGAGTAGATTCCCCCAAAGTATTAAAATAGCCAACACCAAACATTGGCAAGGAAGTAGGGAAAAGAGAATCTGCAAAAACTGAAGGGCGTGTCAACTGGTACAACCACAGTGGAGAACTATTTTTGCAGTTATCTGATAAAATCTAAAACATTCTAATGAATCCAGCAATTCTATTCTAGATATATATACACAAGAGAAACTCATCTATCTGGTATAAAGAGAACTTAACTGCCACCCTATTTCTAAAATATAACACTGGTAATAATGTACATGTCTGTCAAATGGGAAATGGATTAAGTTGTAGTTTACTCACATCATGGAAACCTCTATACCTAAGATAATCACATGGGGCACTTATAAGATTGAAGAGTGGTACTATTAATAATTATGCCAGGTTAACTGGAGGGACTCAGGAGTGATTCCTGGAAAACCAAAACATGAAGTCACCCTATTTATAGAAGTGATAAAGTCAGCATGAAAGAGATCTTAAAAACAATGTTAAAATGAAAAGTCAGTTGCCAAATATGTACTCTATGATAGCCTTTAAATGTTTAGAAGTCTTTTTAGTATACACAAAATAAGATATACAAAATAAGATATTGTTCAGACATATATTTTTATATCCAGATTATTTTTTAAATAACTATTTTTTAAAGACTCTGGATATAAAAATTAACAAATCCATGGAACAGAATAAAGAAATATATCCACGTATAAATGGACAATTGATTTTCAACAGAAGTGCAGAGAACTCCAAAGAAAATGGATACTCCTTCTCCAACAAATGGTGCTGGAACAACTGCATATCCACATATAGAAAAAAAGAACCTTAATTCATGCCTCAAACCACATTAAAATTTAACTCAAAATCTAAAACAATGAAACTTCTAGAGAAAATGTGCATCACCTTGAGTTAAGCAAAGATTATGGCTGCAACACCAAAAACATGATCTATAAGAAAACAGATCGATAATATGGACTCTACCAAAATTAAAATCATCTGCTCTGCAAAAGACAATAAAAGAATGAAATGGCAAGCCAGACTGGGAATATTTACAAAGCATATATCTGATAGAAAACTTGTATACAGAAGATGTATAAGAACTCTCAAAATTGGATAACAACCTCATAAAATATGAGCAAAAAAGAGACATATCACCGAAATTATTTGAATGTCAAATAAGCACATGAAAAATGCTAAGCATTAGTAATTATGGAAATGCAAATTAAAACCACAGTGAGGTACCACTACACACCTGACAGAATGACTAAACTTTAAAAGGCTGACTATATAATGTCGGTCAGGATATTGAAGAAATGGAACCCTCAAACATTGCTTATGGGAATGTAAAGTGGTACGACCACTCTGAAAAGATTAAGTAGTTTCCTAAGAAGCTTTATTTGTAATAGTCAAAAGCTAGAAAGAAACCAAATGTCCATTAGCAGGTGAATAAGTAAATAAAGTATGGTATATTTACAGAATAGTATTACTCAGAAATTAAAAACATAAAGTATACATTGTATGATTTCATTTATATAAAAATTTTACAAAATACATCTTCAGTGACAAAAAGCATCATAAGGGCTTTCTGAGGGCAGAAGAGGTGGGGGAGCGGAGAGAAAAGATATGCAAAGGAACACCAGAAAACTCTGTGGGGGTAGGAGGGCGATGGCTATGTTCACTGTCTTGATTATAGTGGTTTCATGAGTATAAACGATGCCAAAAATTATCACATTTTACACTTGAAATATCTCCAGTTTATTTTATGTCAATTCTACCTCAATAAAGCTTTTTTTTTTCCTAAATTTAACCCACCTATAGAATAATCTGGAAAGATGAAAGGTCTCAGGGAAAGGAGAGGGGTAGGAACTGTTCAGGAAAAAAAAGAAGTCAGACATAAAAGAGTAATGCAAAACGTTAACTGTCAATTCTGAGTATGATGATAGTTAAGTGGTCTTTTTAGTTAAGTGGGTAGTTACATGAGTATATACTGTTGTACTGTTTTTGTGAGGTTATGTTATATATTCAAACATTTGAAATTTGGATAAGTTATTAGAGAAACAAAAATGTTTTCCCAGAACCAGAAAAATTTTACTACAGAAGTCAATGTCTATGCTCAGAGCAAGAGCAGGTTCACCACCACTGGATCTACTACTGTTCAATCTATCTTCCACACTCTTCACATTTACCAACTGTCACCTCCCTTCAAAAGTCTTCCTGACAGTCCTTGGAGCCATGGTTGATTCTAGGGCAGGACGCAAAATAAAAGATGAGCCTGAAGCACCTGATAAAGAAAGAAAATGCTTAAAAAAAAAAAAAAAAAAGTCTTGAGGGAACACAAACATCAAAAGGACACAAGAGCCAAAACTGGAACAATTTAAACAATAAAAGCAAAAAAGCAAAAATAAGTTTAAGGTACAAAAGCCCAAAGAATAAACTATCGACAGTCCAAATTTATATAAAATAAATGACTAAATTTAAAAAAAAAAAAAATCAATGGATAAGAAAATAAAGTCTTAATAAAAAATAAATGGGGGAGAAGAGACAACTCTTCTTTACAGAAGAATGTCAAGTAATGCAGAAGGAATGTGGGATAGAATCACCATTAGAACCACATTAGCCACAGGTCAGATCCACTAATAAATATTAAAATTAAGGAGAAAAACTTTAGAGAAACAGAGTATTTGCATAGCTTCAAAGTATCCCCTCCAAAATATTTAGTAATATGTCCATAAATTCAGATTCTCCTCCCTCTTAGTAACTATCTTCTAATGGAGAGAATATGCAAAGGGGAAGAAAACTAACCTGGTAGAAAGCACCTTAATCATCAAGGTTAAATTCAATCAGTAATGATATTATGTATTCCCTGATATAAGGCTGTCACCTGTTGTATCCTTTCCCCAAGTTCATAACTTCAGTCAACTCTTAACACCAGACACACTCAAATTAAGATCAAAAGTGTCAGGATCCTAAAAGACAAAGGAAAGACAAAAACTGTCACAGACCAGAGAAGAGAGACTGAGACATGAAGATTAAATGCATTGTGGTATCTTGGATGGGATCCAGGACAGAAGAAGGACATTAGTGGAAAAAGGAAGGAAATTCAAATGAGGTTAATTGTTTAGTTAATAGTATTTCATCAATATCAATTTCTTAGTTATGATAAATAACCATGATTATGTAAGATGTTAATATTACAGAAGTTGAGTGAAGGGAATATAAGACATCTCTCCCTGCATTGCAACTCTTCTGTAAATCTAAAATTATCTCAAAAACAAATTTTCCTGAAAGATAAAAACTTCAAGACAGAAAATGGAAAACTTGACAATTTACTACCTTTTCCTGGTTTTTTGCACCGCTTCCCCATTCCAAACTTAAGTTAGTCTGCTGGGTTTATAATTAAGCAACCATCTGTTCTTTCTCGTCAACATGAAAAAAATACTAATGCCTCATCTATAAAATTCCTAAAAACATTAATTTCCTATCCTTTAGATCTCATATAGCATAGGTGGATACACTCCAGGAAACGTTCTAAGAGCAAGCTCAAAGTCCACAAACATGGCGTGTACTTGAGGCGCAGGCCAAGAGCCTGGAAGGGACAGGTAGCTGTCATTCAGGCCTTACAGATTGTGAATCCTTCAGGTTTTCTGAATAAATAGCTAGCACATATCTATCTACAGTTCCCTACTAGGTACAACGTATGTATGCTTTACAAGATAGTTCAGACGACTATTTGGGTTTCAGATTATCGGTTCTAAGTAAAAACATGAGAAAACCTAATATGTGTGAAAGCACTTTTAAAATATGTAAAGGGCTATACAAATACATGATGTTGTTATATAGCCACTTAACTTCTCTACAAAATAGAAACACGTCCCATCCAGGAAGCCAGCTTTCTTTCTCTGAACCATCTCTAATATGTACCTTTCATTAAATACCTGAAATATAGCAGAGAGGCTAAACAGCTCAGCAATATTATAAAATACGACAGATTAGCCAGAGGACGGAAAGGGAAATCAATCACCTAAAGTCACCTTTTAAAGACCTAAGGCCACAGCCTGTGAGGGAAATTTTTTATTACTTACTTTCCACTTTATAAAGCCCACTCTTCACATGTAGATTATTCCTAACTCTTCACCATATCATTCTGCTTGCAATTTAGCCTACCCAACCATGGTCAGATAGGGTGTCCATGAATACTTTAAAAAAATTTTTAAGTAAACAGAAAGCTAATTTTTGAGATTTAAAAACATAAACCTAGTTAACCGCCACAGTGTGAACACCAACTACAAGTGAGATTATAGTTGTCGAATCTAAATTTAACCCCATGGCTGGAAGACAGTATTTCACTAAAGGTTTTGCCAGCTAGATGTTAACTTACCAGCCAGAGTTTAAAAAAAAAAAAAGTTTTTTTTAACCTATCTTCTTTGACAATTATCTCCCTTTGTAAAATAGTAAGTTTTGTCCAAAGTAGTCTAAAGCAAAATTAAATGAACATTCAATGCAGATTGAAATTCTGAAAAATTAAAAGAAAAACAATCTAATTGCAAAAAGTTGAAAGAGCATGTGGGTAATTTTATTAAACTGGCAAAAAGATTTAAAAAATTAGTTTAGGTCGCAAATTCAGGCTTTATGTTAAATTTCATCTTTTAATTAAACACAATGCCCCAGCCATGCTAATAACCATATAAAATTCACAAATCTATAAAAATTCAAAACTAACCTCTGGCCTTTACTTTTTATGCAAAGTACTAAAGCAAGTAAAAAATAAAATAGTGTAATTTACCAAAAAACAAAAAAAGAAAAAAAAAAAAACTGCTGCAAAGTAGGTCACCAACAAACATTACCAACCTCCTGATGTTCCCTTAGCAGACTGTCAGCTGAGAACAGCAAACTGAATGTGAGTTAAATAAAGAACAAAGAACTGCCTACTTTTCCACCAGCTAGAAGAGCTACAAAAGCTTAGACTGAAAGGATATAACCACAACAAAAGTCACCTCAGACTTAGCTGGGATGCGGGGAGGCACCCAAGTCTTGCATTATCACAGTTTGCTTCAATTCATTTGTTCTTTATAAATTAATGCACAAGAGATTAGCTGGGCTATAATTTATGAAATACTAGTTTTCATATTCCTGCCTAACTGATAACCATTAGCCTGAGACCAAGAGCAATGTTTTTCTAAGAAAAAAATATATATTTAGAAGGGGAAAGTAACAAAATTTCCCCTCAATTAATGCACAATTTTATTGACATGTTTTATGTCAACAATAAAATTAGCTGCGCTCAACTGTAACAGTTTAAATGTAGGTCATCATGGTGTTTTAACATTCAATAACTAAAAATACTAATAGTTAAGGAGTGTCTAAATGCAGATAACTGGAATTGCTACAGAAGGCAAGTTCCAAGTAAAACAATGTTATTCTCTTAAAGCACTCTGTTATTTATGGCAACACCAACATAGGTAAAAAAAAACCTGTTCATACAATCTATCAATCCTTTATCTACTGCTACTTTCTGTGAAGAAACATGAAGAGTATCGAGTAAATAGAAACACTTACAAATATTAAGCATCCTCACAAGTTTTGAAAATGACAAGGATGTAAACTATGTGTTCTGATTGCAAAAAAAAATCAACACCGATCCTAAAAAGTGTCTGTACAAACAAAATAGATAAATTTCTTAAAAAACAAAACAAAACTGAAAGTCATTCCAATCAAAATTGATTCGGAAGAGTTTGTCCCAAAACTTTCACTGTAGTTGTATCTCAAGCAGAGAGATTTGTCATGTAATGACTTGGACCTGCAACACAGCAACATTATTTCATTAATCCAAAGACTATAACGGCTTTCCAAAATATAACTCTACTAGAAAAATATGTATTCAAGTCTCTGAAGGTGTTTTCTAAGTTTATATACATAGGAGCTTTAGAGTAAATGCTAAATAAATGAAATGAATGTAGACAGGCATCACCCACAGAAAATCTCAATCACCTTAACAGGTAACATTACCAACACATCTCAATCACTCATCCGTAATTCACCTAGCATAAGCTCCAAAGAGGTCAAATTTATACTGTAACTGAGCACTATCCTTTTCATTCCAATTTCAAATTTCAACCTACACATGCTAGCGAGATCTGAAACTCACTGCTCTGGACCTCATTTTCTTCAACTACAAAACGAGGAAGTCAAACCATGTTCTCGAAGGTCTTTCTCAAGTCTGCTCCAATTAAAAAAATAAAACTGATTCAGGGTCTAATATCTGAACCTAACTTCCTACTGGCGGGAATTTCCCATCATCGTGCTGTGAGTTTCAAATCTGACAAGGAGCACTATCCATATTCATTTGCACTTATTCATTTTATTCTATACTTTATCCAGAAGCTTTTAGGGCAGCACATCTATCAGCTCTCTGTGCGAATACATGTAGAAAAGAAGCCCTAACCCTTTTTTCCCCTTTGTCTTAATCCCACGTCCAACTCTCACCCTCGTCTCCCTGGAAGCCCATTAACTGACTCAAGTGCAAATGCCGCTGCTGTCTCCGCAGCAGTAGGCCATTCCGGGCTGATGTCTTCAGGGACTAATGCTCTGGGGGCCAAAGTGACTTGGGGCCTCATAGGGCGCTGTAACAAAGACTAAAATAGACTAAGGGACTAGGAGTCAGGCGGCCTGGGTTTAAACAAATATCTGCCCTCTACCACCTATATGCCTTTGACCATGTCACTTTACCTCTGGGCCTCCAATTACGCTGTAAAATGAGGAAAATCATCGTACCTACCTCATCGATCGTCGTGGGAATAAATGAGAGGCACACAAGTTGATCAACACAGTGCTTGGCACACAATGAGGGCTTAGAAAAAATATTAGTTGTTATTATACCCATGCACTCGCTGCTGCCCCTTTACTCCTAGTAAAACCCAAGAGCAGCACTTTTTTGCTTCCCGAGTCGAAAAATCCTTACCGCACTTTCGTGTCGCCCCCACCCCTAAATAAAAGTCTCCTCTGATCCGAGACAGGCTGGAGCCCCTCGCCAAGGGAGGAAAGACTCAGTTACCGCATGGGGGTACAGGCGGGAAAAGCTGGCGAGCCGGCCGCGCGGGGCCCCAGGCCTCGGAGATCGCCCAGGGACCCCGGGCGGCGGC